AGCAGCCACTTGTGCGTGAGAGGAGACATGCGTAGAGTACTTAGGGCGGGCGAGTATACTTCTGGATCTCCCGCTAGCAAGGATTCCGATATTCGGATGCTCCATATTCGCGTGGGAAACATCGGAGGCTGTCGGGGAGCTGTTCCGAGGCGCTTTCATCATAAGCGGCATTCTGTGCATCTCCGCTTCGTTTGCACGACCCAGTAGAGCTTAGACAATTAAATCTCGAGCCACACTCAGACCAGGAACGGGTCATCCAGGCAAATCCAAGCCTATCTGACTGTTCTGGATATGCTTGTACTGAAGTCGTACGCGTCCCTCTCGGCAGACAGTTCGATGCAATCAATTTTGGCAAGAGACGCTGAGGATTATTGAGATTGCCTGGCTATCATTGCGGTGCGATATCCTGCTCACATTCGGATTCTGCAGCCAAGCCGATTGGACGCTATCCGCAAGTTCGACACTTTTGTGTATGACTTGAAATGTATCAATTTGTACCAGATCACTTCAGTTCCATAAAAGCGAGATATGCGGTGGTTCCATTAAAGTCAACACGCCTCTTATGCCCACCTAGTCTCTCCGAACCACTGACACTACTGTGAAAGGGTTCAGTTGGTCCTAACCAAAGACATGGTTGTCGAAAATATAGATTCAGAAGACAGAGACGGGCAAGTCGAGCCTTTGATCACAGCGTACTTCTCTCAAAAAACGGTTATGGACAGGTAGGATTTGACGTGGTAACGGTCAATTTATAAGAGGGGAAATGGGGAAAGCGATATTCTCTAGAACGAAGAGTATTGCAACAACTTTAGCTGAAGAAGCCGATGGCGGTGACGAAGCGATAAATAGGTGCAGATGGATACTTTCGAGTGCACACGATGCAGCGTGACAATAGTATGGGCAGTTGGCTATGATGATGATCGTCCCATCCAGGTGGAAAGGGAATGAAGCGAACTCCGCAGAGACCAAGACAGGCGAAGATGGGTGGTTATAATGGAGGATGAATGCACTGGGGAAATAATCAGAGAGTGAAGAGAAAGACAAGAGAGTGTGGGAGTGAGGGTGAGAAGGGGGGCGGGGGGTGGAGGGGGGACGGCGAGGAGTATGGAAGGACTGGGGAAGCCCGGAAGACGGCGGTGTAAGGCCGGCGGAGCAACGGATGCGGAGTGTATGTCTGTATGTCTGTACAATACAGTACAGTAATATCCGTAGTAAATTGGCGGGCACCTGCTTGATTACCAAAGTCAGTCAAGTTAGTCAGTGAATGACCAAGTAAATACAGGGCTTGGCACAGTCGGTAGTTGTTCTAGAAACCTGAAATAAGTTGTAACTGTACGGTAATGTTCCTGTACCTGCGTTAGATAACGGTCTGCGCATTAAATATCATGTACTCCCATATCTTATGATTTTCTGATATGAAGAACACCATTGAGATAAAAGTCTCTGTACAGAAAGTACTTCTGTCACGCATCAGAACCACCGTATCAGTACCAAAAAGGCATGGGAAAAAACAGTGCCTATTAGACCTCTCGAAACAGAGTATATTGCTAAGCCTACGAGCACCTCTCCCCTGAAATGAGCTGACAGGGTCCACGTTTCAATAGCCAAGCGCCATGTCACCACCAGGGAATAGACCTTCCGAGCAGATGCAAAGACATATCTAGTCTGGATTGAATGGCATAATTCCAGGTCATTGAGCAGCGACTCGAAAAAGAAGACCCACGGAGAAACGAGTCATAATAAGACTGAGACCATTCTGTGGAGAGCATGTGTGAAGATGCAGGAGAAGGCATCGTCGCATCAAGCAAGCGTTGCTACTTCGCAATGGACCACAGAGAGAGAGGCAGGAACGGCATGGCTCTGGCCAGACGTGATCGAAAACTCAGCGAAGCGAGAAGAAGCATGAGTGCACCTGCATGTTCGGGTTGCCGCAGGAGTTTAAGAGGTTCCGGTTGGAGGTGATACCGTCCAAGCTCAGCCCATAGCCCAATCTTGGTTCTCCACATATAACTGTATGGAATATCGGAAACATTCTCATTTGTGGAAAGATTTCTTGCCATCACCAGTTTTTGATCTCACCAGCCGCCGGTGGCTCCACACGGACAACTTTATCGGGGTTGAGGAGGCAGAGAGGGTCGAAAGCAAGTTTGAGCTAGAAGTTCTTAGTCAATGAAACATCGTCACACATTTCACGAGGACCACATACCCGACGCATGGCGTCCACGGTGCGTTCGCCCAATTCATGCTCCAAATAATCTCGTTTGACCAGACCGACGCCATGTTCTCCTGTCACTGTGCCTTCCAGCTGAATGGCTCGCTTCACCATCCGGTGAACCACAGCCTCTGCAGCCCTTCTCTCGCTCTCGTTAAAGAGGATGATGGCTGAAAGTGTCAAAAACAGGCCTCTAATATACCCAGGCAGAAGTCACTTACCATGGAAATTACCATCTCCGACGTGGCCACAGATACCTGCCAAAAGACCACTTTCAGTCATATCTTGTTTTGTGGTTTCAATTATCTGGGGCAGTTTGCTCATAGGTACTGCCACATCCGTTGTCCAAACATGGTCTTCGGGGCCTCTTCGCATAGCCATTACACTCCACAAAGCCTGTTTGCGGGCACTCCACAGTTCCTGCATTTCCGCATCACCACGTGCAAACTCGAAGGACTTCCCAGCCGAGGAGGAAACAATCTTCTGCACAAGGTTTATCTGTTCTTTGACGCCCAAGGGAGTCCCTGTGAATTTGAAGAAGAGTGTAGGTGTCTCCTTCCATTGTCGGCTGGTCGTCTGACTGGCATTGATACACTTCATCTGGACGTCATCCAAGATCTCCAGTCCGGCAACGGGAATGCCTTCCTCTACTACACGTGTGACACATTCCGCCGCATCCTGTATCGTCTGGAAGCTTGCAACGGCAACATTTTGACTTTTGGGCTTAACAGTCAATTTTAGCGTTGCTTCTGTCACTAGCCCAAGTGTACCTTCGCTGCCAATGAATAGCCTAGTGAGGTCATATCCAGCACTCGACTTCCGCGGACGTTGCTTTGTCTTGATGACTGTCCCATCGGCAAGGACGACCGTTAGGGAAAGTACCCACTCGCGCATGGTTCCATACCTATAGGCATTCGTTCCGGAACAGCCTGTACCAACCATGCCGCCGATCATAGCGCCAGGACCGGGGTCTGGTGGGAAAAACAAGCCATCCTCGGACAGCTTCTCGTTAAGCTCCTCCCAGCCAACGGCAGGTTGAACCACAACGTCCAAGTCCCCCTTGTGAACCTCTAAGATACGATCCATGCGACGAAAGTCGATGCAAACACCGCCTCTTGTGGGTGCAAAATGTCCTTCCAAGCTTGTCCCCCCGGAGTACGGCGTGACAGGGATTATCCGCTTATGGCAAACCTTCATGATGCGAGAAACTTCTGCCGTGGTTGAGGGATAGAGAACCAGGAAGGGTTTTTCATCAGTCTTCGGCGCATATGAAGACCAGTCAGACCCCGAGTGGATCTCCAAGTCATTGTGTTCAGTAGAGACATTCTCTTTCCCTAAAATGTCAACAAAGTCTGCCCACGCAGCCTGTAGATTTGACGGCGCGACGTTGTGTCTTGGTGGCTCTGCTTCATATATAGGAGTGGTTGATGACGTTGGCAAGCTCTCGGGTTTGAGGGACCCTAAGAAGTAAGCCCCGGTGGAGAAGAAGGTCAATGCTAAACATGCGGCATCAGATACACTTGTCATACAATAGAACCCAAAAGAAACGTCTCGTTGTGGAGGTGAATAATTCGCATACCGAACATCATAGCTGCATAGCGACCACCCTGGGATTGGGTCTGATACTCTGAGTAACGCTCTTGCTCGGCACGCTCCCTCTTGAGGCGCTGTTGTGTGCTCTCATATAGCTGATGTTTGAAAGACTGAGACTTTTCCTCCGAGGCATAACGGGTGGATTTGCAAAACACCCTTCGCTGAAGTTCTACTGGTGCAAGTTTGGTGTAGCGAGCGCCCGCTCTCGGTTGTAGAGTGTCTCTTGTCCCCAACGAGGCACGGAAGGGGTAGGACCTAATCATCTTGTGAGTCGGGGTCAGCATGAAAATAATGAGAGCAATTCTGTTCTTCAGGACGTTGGCATCCTACTGCTGGAGACCGTTTGTAAGTGATCAGATCGGTTAAAGCATGTAAGAAGTTGAGCTTGTTGCGCTTAGTGAGCTAGTTAACTTGCTACATTAGCCATGACTAAGCCAAGCTGAGAAACTCAACTAAACTGCCCAGTGTACGATCCAGTACAGTACATGATACACCGACTACCCGTGTGTATAGTATATAACAGTACGGAATACCGGTACATATTCACTATTTCCGATTGATCATGTGATAATGCACCGGCTAAAAACCTGCCTGTAGGTACTAGATATTCCGTACAGTACCACTGTCTGCAGTCAAGCGTCTCGAATTCCGGTTAAATTGCACACAATCCACCAATAGATAATCAGCCGGGCTTCATGCCGACTCCCTTGCCCCCCATCTGCGGTCATACTTACCCCGCCATATTATCCTGCCGTCTCACCTGGAGCTCACCTGAGCTTCCTAACTCTCGTGCTAGTGTTGATATAGCCCCATCATAATGCCTTGTGAAGAAGGAATAATCACCTCTATTGCTTGGCTAGACCCATGCAGGTTGCTCCCCTGGCCCCTCACCACAACACGTAGCTATCTTGATTATCCTTTGTCGGTTGAAAGCCTACCATTTCTGTATTTAAGTTTCTCCTGCTCTTTTCTTTTTTTCGTTCTCAAATATCTGCCACTGCAAACATTCTCTCCCCCCTTTTGTTTCTGTTAGCCCACTGAGAGCATCAGAGTGTGTCTTGAACGTGTTCTATTCTAACACCTCACCCCCTGCTTCAGAGCCCAGCTTCTTCTATCACACTAATCAAAAAACAACTATTATCACTATCTTATTCCTTGGCTCATTGCAATCAAATCGGGTGGAACTTTACCGAAGATGTCTGCCCAGAGTGCCACTGCCCAGGTAAGCAAGAAGACACTTTCGTTGAGAAGCATACACCTGTATAGCAGGTCGGGAGCTGGTAGTTGCTAATGTAGGGAATTCAACATATATAGAACCTCTCATTCGTATTGGAAGGCATCCATCGGGTCAAATTTGAAGATCGTCCGGTCCCGGAATTGAAAGGACCTCATGATGTCCTTGTGAATGTCAAGTTCACGGGTATATGCGGGAGCGATGTACGTTCTATCGATAGCGCTTGGGAAGATGAGTCGAGCTTCAAACTGACTTCGGGACAATTGCTAGGTTCACTACTGGGAGCATGGTTCCATTGGCCAATTCGTCGTCAAGGACCCTATGGTACTGGGCCATGAATCATCAGGCATTGTTAGCAGGGTCGGTTCGTCGGTCACGGGGTTGAAGGTGGGAGATCGAGTGGCACTCGAACCCGGCGTCCCTTGCCGTCGCTGTGAACCGTGCAAGTCTGGGAAATATAACCTGTGTGAGAAAATGGCATTTGCCGCTACCCCCCCATACGACGGCACTCTCGCCAGTTACTACATTCTGCCCGAGGACTTCTGCCACAAAGTCCCCGACAGTATTACCCTACAAGAGGCTGCACTCATGGAGCCCCTTGGTGTCGCGGTGCACATCGTCAAGCAGGCAGATGTTAAACCTGGCCAATCGGTGGTTGTATTTGGCGCTGGGCCAGTGGGACTCCTATGCTGCGCTGTAGCGAAGGCGTACGGTGCGTCCAAGGTTATTGCCGTGGATATCCAAGAGCCGAGACTCAAATTTGCCGCAAGCTACGCAGCAACTTCAACATATGAGCCGTTCAAAGCCAGCCCCTTGGACAACGCGAAGAGAATCATCGAGGAAAATGACCTAGGCTCGGGTGCAGATGTAGCAATCGATGCATCCGGAGCAGAGCCATCTGTGCACACTGGAATACACGTCGTCCGCGCTGGCGGAACGTACGTACAAGGCGGCATGGGAAGGAGTGAGATCACCTTTCCGATCATGGCTGCATGCACCAAGGAATTGAATGTGAAGGGCAGTTTCCGTTATGGTAGTGGTGATTATAAGCTTGCAGTATCGCTTGTTGCCTCGGGCAAAGTGAATGTCAAAGATTTGATCACTGCTACTGTCAAGTTTGAAGATGCCGAACGGGCATTTCAAGAGGTCAAGGCTGGAAAGGGTATTAAGACACTTATCGCTGGCATAGAGTCCTAGACATGAACTGGGTACAATCTGGAATACCAAGGTTCGACTGGGTCCTTTGAAAATCTCCCGCTTCCAGTAGTATGAGTTCTAATTGTCTTTGGGCTTGTTAGTGATGATATGAGCGTTGTCGGAAGATTCAAATTCAGTGACTTTTGAGGTATGTATTAACGGGTGGTGGCCACTAGAATGTTATTTGTAATGTAGAAAATGATTTAAGATTGAGCTAGGGCTTGAAGCCAAAGAACGCCAGGAAGATAACTTAGTACAGGACACTTAATCACAGAGTCAATTAGTACCTGTGAAGGACAGCCAGAGTTGCAGTTAGGGTATCTTGCTGATTGAATTGAGAAAGAGAAGTTCCGAGCGAGATCAGACTATCTCCTGAATGAAGCAGAGACACAAGCTAGTCAATTGTCATTCTCAGAGATTTCACAAAATGGACGGTGACCGAGGCTTATGATCGGTGGTCGGCCCACTTTCCGTTATAGGGATATCAAATGAGGAAGACTGTATTCGAGCTCCGAGCTGCGCAGCCGCGATAATAACAGGCAGCAGGTCAGCAACATCTATCGTCTCTCCTTCGATGAGAGTCGCTCAACCTAAACACATCTTCCCATTCTCTCAAACCACCTCTTCGGCTGTTTTCAGCTTCAACTCTGTTGTGCCGACGACGCATCTGAACAGAACCGTCATCGAGCGTTGTGCGACTTCGAATACTAGATCCATCACTGGCGCTGGGACCATAGCCACCATCTCCGTATTGAATTCCACTTTGTGGATCGTCAGGGTCGATTTCCCCTAATTCAATCTTTGTGAGAATTATCCGGGCCAGCCGGTTGAACAACTCTTCCACCCCCTCGCCGGTAAGGGCTGAAATTTCGACGGCTACCGGGATACCGGATTTGGCTGCCCAGCGTGACACGTTTTCAGTGCTGACTTCGCGACCATGTAAAGCGTTTGTCGCTGTTAACCTTGTCCCTGCTTCATAAAACACTGTAGAACGAACAGACCCGCCGGTAGAGTCAGGGAGGAGGGAAGAATATTTGCTGGACGTGCTAGACGGCGTGGGAGGCGGCCGGGAGCTATCGTCGAAGCTATCGTTATGCTGCATGGCATCCGAGGTAAGATCCGCTTTGTTTCCCGCGAGCAGGACTGTGAGATTGGGCGAAGCAAGAGTACGCGCATCCATTAGAAATGTCGGAAGGGATGTGAATGAAGCCTGGGAGGATACATCATAAATGAGGATGGCCCCCGCAGCCCCTCGGTAGTAGGATCTGGAGACAGATCGAAACCTCTCCGTTCCAGCCGTATCCCATAGCTGGAATTTGATTCTTGTTCGCCGGGAGCCGGTGCCTAATTTGACTATCCGGGAGGAAAATTCCACCCCGATCGTTTGCGAAGACAGCACTCTCCCTACACGTACACAATCTGTTAGCAAGCCAGGCTACCAGCTCGGGATGAATGTATACATAGGCTAGGTCAGGGGTTGAAGCCCTACATTCATTCTTCACAAAGCGATGTAACACACAGGACCTTGGTTGTCACGGACAAGTGAGCAAGTGTTGAGCTTTTTTTTGGCGTCCAGTGAATTCCATAGAATCTTACTTTCCAGCCCCGCTTGGCCCAAGAAGGATTACCTTAGCCAGATAATCGTACATACTCTCCAGTTCCTGAGAAAGAAATATGGAAAAGACAAAGCGACCGGTTAGTCCTGGAGCAAAATGGGCAGCTTCTGGCACAACGGCTGCATCGATTCCAGTTGAGGGTGAGGAGGGCCTTGTGTATGTAACTTAAGGGGTGTAATGAGAAGATCGCATACCTGGTTCCTCTCAGCCTGGAAAGATGGAGCTGAGGAAGCATTCGAGAAGCTCCTTTGACGCACCATGGCGCCAAACAAGAGCCATCCAAAGGAGAGACTTGGGGATGTTGTGAAGGTGAAGGGAAAGAAGAAAGGTGACGAGGTCAAAGTTACCGATGTAGACCGTACAGTACCACGTATTGTACGGAGTAGACTGTACACTACCCCTGCGTGACACAATGCAGGCTCCACACTGAAGTAGCTATTGATTGCCACAATGCGAGCCCACACATCAATTCGCAAATCTGCCTTCCAGTTCATTGCTACTCCGTACACAAGTCTTGTCACAGGCAAATGAGTTGAGGGATCTTAGGTCAAGGTTCGCTACATTGTATGTTCAGGAAGGAACAGACAAGGCTTTCCGACTATCATTCAAATTGATATGAGAGCTAAAGACAATTTATAAGAGTATGCCACAAAGGCTCGCTGATGGCAAACAAGAACCAATGCTATCCGTGGCGCGAGAATGCAGAAAGAAGGCATCAATTTGAATTTGCCAATAAGGTTCGTGATTTAGTGACATTTCTTGCGTAAATGGACAACAGTACTCCATCCTTCGCAGCATGCCTGGTTCATCTTGTGTCCGCACCAGCAGCTATGAAGCGATTGAGATGTTAAACTTGGTCTGTCGGCTGCGCTACGGGTACATGGTTGGCTGGTAGATTGCCTCGATTGCCCGCTTCTGGACATAGCAAGATCATTCTTCTTATCGATGACAGCTGCTTCTCTTTCCTCTGTAAACCATTCGGGAGTTGTTGGAGTTGGAAGATTCTTGCCGCAGAGGTACTCTGAATACATTTGCGAAGGATTATCATGCCATTGCCCACAAACGCAACAGATAAGGAATATCTTAGAAACATGCCGACCTGGGCAGTATTTCGGCTGGTTGCCGGAGTTCTTAGTTTGCATCGGCAAAGTACCAGATATCACGGCTGGTGATTGCTTCCGTGCTGGTGAAAGACAAGCACTAAAGTCATGCCTAGGATTTTCAATTCCAGGATGTTTTAAACACAGCGTGGGAAAGTCATTCTCATCTCTTGATCGTGAAGTGACGGAAGGGCTCTCATCCGCCGTGTTGTAATCATCTGCCGACATCTCGCGAGATGAATTGTCCAATGAAGACAGAGACCTGCCATACAGCTGTGGTTGATCGGCAGGATATGCGCGAGTGACTTGTGGATTCTCGACCTCTGAAGTCCATTGGGACTTTGTGGGACATGGCTCATGATCGAGGTAGGAGTTTAGCTTGCGCAAGGCCTTTGTCTGGCTCTGCCCGACGCCAGCGCTGTAGCCGACTGAAGCCTGAGAGTGCAGGTTTGCTCTGGCATCATGCGAATGCCCGAATTCAGCCATACTTGAAGCCGACGAATCTATTTTTTCATCTTGAACTCTGTACGTACTATCGTTGGAGGTATGCTGAGGGCGTTTGTTTGAGAATATTGGCCGGTCGCCGTCGCAATCCTTATATGCAGGTCTGTGAGTGTTTACTCTTTCAAAGGATGCGCCAAGGCCATGATGATTGATCGGCAGCGGTCGCACTGGGCTTGATCTGACAATTATGCCATTTTCCAAAACCTCTGGGAAGACTTGTTTCGATTTCTCAACTGCGAATTGGGTGGACGGTTCAAATGAGGTCGGATTGGTTGAAGCTGGTCCGCTCGCCAAGTCACCCACCGAGGTCACTGCCAGCGGCGATGACTGATATTTTCTATATTGCCTCTGGAACTGTTTGTAATTTGAAATCCTTGCCGAACTAGGTTTCCAGGGTTCTTGTTGTGGAATGGTGAAGTCGTTGGGGTGCTGAGGATGAGGCCTTGCAGCGAACTGCTCCACTTCACCGGGTTTAAAAACCAAACAATCTGCGCGGGTTTCTTGGATGTCTTTAACAGCGGGGTTGATAATGGGCATGGGGCGCCCAGAGGTTTGAACAACCTCGGGGATCCTTGTCTCTGTATTCAGGACCGCTGAAAACGAGGTACGGTCCAAATCTCTTGTCTTTTGCGACGCTTTGGGGGCTCTTAGCTCGGGTTTTGCTGATGAGGAAGTACAACTCTCGTTTCTATATGCGACCGGTCCTTGACTTGTCTCGTGGACCAGACTCTCGAGTGACAGCCGCGATTTGCTGGTCTGGTTCACATGAGACTCTGCGGTCGATTGGGTAGGCTTCCCCGGAGGACCGTCCTTGTGATATGAGAGTAGTGCATTTGCCGCAGTGAGCTCTTTCGATAGCGCAATGCTGAAACGCTCGGGTGCTTTCAACACCGTCCGATCCCCTGGATGCAAGTCAGCATTCGGCCTTGACTTTGCAGTGCTAGATGACTGTTGACATAGTCTTTGGTCGGCTTCGTGCGCTGAGCTCGGTCGAGACCGCGATGAGCGCCTTGAGATGGAGAAAATGGAAGAAAGCCTAGTCGAGGACCCGAAATCATCTGCACTCGCACTGGACGCCCTGCTCCACCTGTCCAGAGGTTGTTTTTTGGAAAGACGACGGGTTTCCCTTTTCAACAGCCGCGATGTTCTGGATTCTTCGGCCTGTTCGAGCCTGAGGAGCTGTTTCTCGAGCTCTGCCCGATCTGCTTCCAAACGCTTCGTAGCCCGGGTCTCTTTGTTCCTGGGAGCGTCAATCTGTCTTTTCGCTGGGGGCTTGTTATTAAGTGTTACCGCAACATCGCCTTCCAAAGAGGCTCCCGTCCTTTTTGATAGATACCCGTTAAGCAGCGATGCTGATAGTCTCTTAACCCCAACGTTTCCGATTGACTGCCTCGGATCTCCATCTTGACCCTCCTCTGTGCTTATTTGGGAATGCCCCCTACTGCTTGAAGAATTCGAATTTGGTCGCTGGGTGGCTGCTTTTTCCGGCCCGGGTCTTGTTGTCTGGGAAGTAGCCTTTGGACTTTGGCCTTGCTTGTCCTGGAGCTGCTTTCGAGGAAATCAGCATCCCAAAGTACTTTGTCGGTATGACAGACATGAGCTAAATGTAGGAGGCCACGATACTCACATGTGTTTGCTTGTCAAAGCCGATTGCCCGCTGAATTTGCTGAGTGATTGACGGTCTGCGTGGCCTTCTGCTCAAGTGGCTATTTTGATCCTGCTTCATCTTTGCGACATAGGTGTGGCAGCCGAGGGTGACTGGCTGGGGAGATCATAGCACAAGGCGTTCACTGGCGGAGAGGCAACCTGAACCGAGCCTAGTCATGAACATCACCGATCGCGCCTAGTTGTCGGCTGGGCCAGATAGAAGTCCTCGTACTGGTGAGGGACCTGCTAGGGACGTAAGACGAGTTCTGAAGGGCGATTAGTACACCACAAAGTATATAGCAGGGAGGTCGGGGGCTGAACAAACTGCAACAGCGGTTTCAGCCGCCTCACCAGCTGCAGACCAGCAGCACGCGAAGCTCGGATCCCACAAACATGGGTAAGAAGAAGGCGGGTCAGCTGCAAGGGTCTAATGTCACGCCGGTCGATTTCCGAATTGATGCTCCATCCATGAATGAGCCCTTTAACTGTTTTGTTTCATTTGCTTCTTCCAACTCCTCTGTATACTTGGCCCCAAATTATCAGGAGCATCAGAGTGGCATGATAATCAGGGAGCGAGGTTCTCAGGCCTAGATTTCGCAATGCAGGAAGACTCTGCTGGGCTCATTGGGCATTGATGCATGCACGCTCTAACCTAGTAGTTAGATAGTACAGTACATATATAGTATAGGCAGTATTTTTTAAAAATTCATGTAAGGGACCGGATAGTGCAACCGAGTAAGATGAGCGCGTAAGAGAAGATGGCAAACAAGGAGCAAGTCTTTTCTATTCCATCATATGCATGAAATATAAGCGGCAGAGCCAGACGATGTTGCAACGGGTCTTCAAAGTATGTGTGCAGATCGATATTCGGGGTGATTTGACGACAAATCTATCCGCATTCTGAGTTATCAGAGCTCGTTCAAGACAATGTACTATACTGTACTGTACTGTACGGATGCACGCGACTTACGCTCTGAGCTCGATCCCTCAGCTGACTCCTGCGGTGGGGCTTCAAGAACCATTCAAATACAGTATGTAGTAAAGAGCCCTGCCGAGACCCACAAATCTATCTACCACCCACGGAGCAAGCCCAAGCGTCCACCTCATCGGCCATCTACTGAGTACTACTCTACAACTGCGATATGAACATCTACCATAGCGCTGTGGCAACTAAGATATGTGGATGGTTGAATATTGGCTCAACCTTCTGATCATTTCGTGACCCATTTTCAAGAAGAAACGGACAGCAAGGTGGCAGGGGGGGGGAACCGACACACGAAGTATAAAACGTCACATATAAGTGGAAGTTCGATTCTAGTAATCAAATGGATCAACGACCCAAGAACACATGCCAGGAGTCCCCGCCGGATTACGCATATGTTGTCGCTTCTTCGTCGGCGAACACATTTCTACAGCCTCTGCCTCCTCCATACCACAACTGGCAAGAGTCTTCTGAAGAAGATAGCTTGCCTCCTCCACCAGCAGCGAGCTTCCTTTACTCATCTACTGGCAATGCCTCGTCCCATGACGCTTTGCGTGCGCACGAGTTCTGTGATGCACACCCACTACGCCCCCCAGCGGAGCCATCTGTTGCCGCTTACGGATCTGTGGAGCTTTATGATTTTACCCCAGTACGGCCGTTGGAGTTTCATGGCAATGTGCATGTTGCTCCTCATGGTCGTTGGACGGGCTCCACGGGTCACGGAAACACTGACTCTATACTGACAACCAACTTACCTCTTTACTTTTCCTTGATCGACTCCCCTCTTCGCACAAATATGGCCAAGTTAATCTACTTCGAAGTCAAATTACTGAGCCTGGGCGGAAGGTCCAGCAGCATGTTTGCTGAGTCTAGCGGGTTCGCTATTGGATATGTGGCAAAGCCATACCCATCATGGAGGTCTCCCGGCTGGGAGCGAGGGAGTCTCGGCGTCTTCTCTGATGATGGCTGTCGCTTCGTGAATGACTCCTGGGGCGGGAAGCCTTTTACAACTGAATTCCGCGAAGGAGAAACGGTTGGCCTAGGAATGGTGTTTCGACAGTCATGCGATAAGAACAGAGTTGATATAACCGTTTGCTTTACCCGTGATGGACAACAGGTGGGGGCTTGGGATCTTGCCGAGGAAAGAGATGAGGACTCCGGCGGAATACAGGGGTTAGAAGGAGATTTTGACCTGTATGGGGCTATAGGGCTTTTTGGAATGGTGGAGTTTGTTGTGGAATTTAATCCCACAGCTTGGTTATGGACTCCATCATGTGTTGTTTGATTTGCACATACTTTAGTTAGCCTCCATGCTGACGTACGTATATTGCAATTTGTCAGTTTGCACCATGACTCTGGCTCAACTGGACATCGGAGTCGGAGTAAAGCATTGGGATACGCCTTTAGTAATGAACTCTTATGCTTGGGGGAAAGATTCGAAAAATCTTGCAGTATAGGCAGGAACAGATGCATCTGCCGCATTGCTGCACACTTCTGAATGTGTGCACATGCAGGCAAAACTGGATCTGCCATTGATGAACCAGTATGAAAATTAGCAAGCTGTGAAAAGCCAAGCCGGCAGAATAACCTGACAGCGGAAGTGGGGGGCAAAGATGAACAGAATAGGCAACTGGTACTCGACACCTACATCGCTAATCGATGAGATCTTCTAGAAAGAGACCTGCAGGATTGGCTGGGGATTTCTCTGCTGATGCACATACTCAGTACATTAGTGTACGGGGGGAAGTTCAACCGCATTTCCGCCGATGCTGTCAACGGACGACGGGAACCATTTACGGGGGGGATGGGGGTGACATGTTCTTAAGCCGATATGCGAGAACTGACGTCACAATTCAGAATTATACACACATCCGCGTCGGATCATGCATCTCCTATACTCCTGGATAACCTTCGCTAATGGGAACAGATGAGCATCCATTCTCGAGATGGAAGAAGAATTCGGAACACCCTTATGGCGCTGCTTGTTTATAAGTGAGATTGGGGCTCTGTAGCATAGTAGTAGAAGTAACTATTAGATAGTTATATTTCCGCCTTGGAAGATAAGTACGAGTATGATGGAGAATTGCAGATGAGACTGGAAGAAGCCGGCAGATCTACGGTATCTCCATGGGATTTATATACAGTACAGTGCGTACAATACGGTATGAAACTAGTCATCCAGCTTGCTGTTCAGTGTTGGAGTCGACTTGTAGATTTACACACGCACGACTCTTCAGTCCCAAAGCATACGTCAATCGATTGTGATTTGTGTCCGAAAAGGATCGCTGCGGACTGCTACTCTGATTCGATTGTTGTACAGTACTATAAGTAAGTACTATAAGTAGCTTGGTGCTTCGGGTCCGGACACCGTCCGGTAATTCTGCCTCCAGGAGTTTTCGCAGCTTTGGCAAAATGGAGGTTAATAGGAAAGGGACGCTAGAAAGACAAAGTCATGATATGAGTGCTCAGCCCGTGGAGTAGGCCCTACGTTCTTCGTAGTGGAGTCCACATGCGACAGATAGCAAAAGCAGCGAGTTTTGACAGGAATGACCACAGGGGTATCCTGTTGCACTGCTGCGAAGTTGAGCTTATAACGCGTCTTTGTGTGGGAACTGGGAAACCACAAATAGCCAGGCCAAGCCTTCAGTGACCCAGCACACCCTCCCCCACAGTAGATATTGCATATAGTACAGTACTTAGCTAGAGAGAGCAGACTGAAGCGGGTTGCCCAAGGCCTTGCTCGATCCCAGCCTATGATATCCGGTAGCTGTACATACAGTGCCACAAATCGTCTGTCTTCAATCCTAGTGCTCTATCCTCACCTCATTGAGGATAGGGCAGGACACAGCATGAAGCCCTAGGAGGATCAGGCTGACACTTTCACGTTTGGAGTGGAAATGTCATCAACGGAAGTCCAAAAGCCCTATATAAAGTGCAACAGAGTATGAATGCCCGTGCTCATAGTGGTCTGGCTTGCCGGCATTGGAAGTCTACGTTACGATGCTATATGTACGAGTAGTCTAAGTTAACCGTGTCTGCCTGCCACTCTCTATGTAGTCAACTTCATCTGCATCCATCGAGACCGTTCCTTGTACGTCTTCTGCTTGGTTAGCAAGGCTATGCTATCTCATCATTTCTGCTATCAAACGCTCTTCACTCAAGCTTGGTCGAAACTCGGAACATGAGACCAGGAGTGCTATGTATCTGTCTAAACGCAGCAAGCTTCCTGAATAGCTGGTCCACGGCGCCTAGATACATGAATAGTCCAACCTCGTCTACGACTACGGAACAGTAGTCAATTTCCTCTCGCTCATCGCTGCCGAATTCGTGACCCGCGGGCTGCAGGCTTTGCAGTGTTCTACCAACCATCGAACGCTTATTGTGGAAGCGGGTTCGGTCGCAGCGAAGAATTGCCCCATAGCATGTGCAGCCCCCAATTTACTCCTACATACGAGTATTCATGTATGTGTATGTACTCTGTACTGTAACTTACATAGAAGAGGATCCCACCAGTAAGTACTAGCCTGCGCTAAAATGTGCACAGTCCGCCTTCACCACAAGAGAAATATCACTCAAACGGAGTCTGCCTGAAGACTGTAGGTTTACCAAATGCATCGTTCTGTAGGATGAGGGCCTAAGTTGGAAAGCTATTCCCCGCGGTTGGTTTCACAAAGCCACAGCCGAGTGAATCATAGGCTTTCTCATACTCGAGCAAAGTTGCGTGACATCAATTTGCGCGTATCTTCACCTCCGTCTAGTCTAGATTAGATAGGTACAGATTCGGATAGCTGGATTGAGTGGTGTCGTATAAACACGGCTGGCGTGCTGATCGACCGCATAGGCTGCATGTCATCTCCCTTGTTGATCGATAGGGAACGGAATTTGTTAGTTTCCTGATAAGCGCGACCTTGGTAAGCGGGTAGAAGATAATGCCAGTGTAAGCGGCACTTCATGCACATAAGTTTAGGCCTCTGAGGCAGCTCGCAGTGAGCACTTCGGTGAACATCAAACATAGCCTTGGTAGGCAAATCAGCGTCTGTTGATGATGGGCTAAGCATGCATCTCACTCCCGTAACAAGCATCCGCCGGTAGATGCCTTTTCATGTATACTATTTTGTTTCACGGTCAGGATGTCTGCGCACACCCATACAGTACAATACATATTGAGCTATTTCATATCTGGTGGATTGAGTGCTTAACGTTCTGAGCACGGCATATCATGTGTTATGTTGTGGAAAACCTAGCTTACAAGTAGCCAATCCACATACTGAATCATGAACCTAGTCTCGAATCAATTGGACAATATCGAGGAATGTGACCATGTAGTGCTGCGTGCTCTGTATAACGACAGCTGACTAATATACCCCGATCTGCGACTTCTTCTCGTACGTACTTGAGGTGCCCGGCACAAGCTCACAACATATGAGTAGCGAAATGGCGCCGGAATGGATACTTCCTCGGTCATTCCCGGGTAAAGGTGGAGAGAGATGGAGTCAAGTAATAC